GCTTGAAGTTTCCTTGCAAGTTGTCAGTGATGAGTGTGGTTTCAGAGTCGGTATCAACAGGAAAGCGAGCTTGATATATGGTTGATTGTGATTTTACTATACTCACTACGGTGGCCAGCAAGGTCGTTGGTTGTCTTCTCTTGGGTGAGTTTGTAGTTTCCGGTCTAGTCATCTGGTGTGTACTGATAAGCTAGCGTCTTCGGATGTAGGGCTCTTTTCTTCGTATAATGGATTATGGTGTGTATTGTTGCAGTTCATGCAGCCCTTCTTGCTGAGGCATGGGCTTGGCAAATGTTATTCAGGACAGTTTGTGCATGGCTGTAGGTTTTCGCAACAGCTTTCGTTCTTTAATGGTGAGTTTCTTGAATTGGTCGCGCATCCATAACTTGTGGTTTTTGTTTCAGCAGACACGTAGGGGATGAAATTGATTGTGTTTCCAATGCCTTCCTCCCTTCTCGTACGCCGTTGATGATTGGTGTGTTCTAGAGAATTTCTTCTCGGATGTTTTGAGATTGCGTTTGTTGTTCTCTTATTTCAGTAACGTTGTCTAATGTCGCTACTTGAGCCAGTATGATTGAGTTCAGTTGTGCGAGCCTTGGGTGTATAGTGGTGCTTGCCAGTGATCGTTCCCATGTCATTCTTGTTTTGTCGTCGACGTGAATCAAGGCTACGTTCACTGTCATGGAGTTCCCTGCATTTGGGATTCCCTTCTAAGGATTTTGGAATAGTTATGTCGGAAAGATAAGCCATTTCTCGTGGTTCTATTGCATGTGCCTTCTCTTCAGGCTTGGTAGTTTTGCTTGTTTGTGCAGATTCGCCTGATTCTCGACACAGCCTTCTGACATTCGCTCTTGCAATAGCATAGCATAAGAGCTCTTCTTCCACTGGACCCTTTGTACAGTATTCGTGGTTGACATCTTTCGCTGGCCAGGCGTTTTCAATACAGTTATGTTCCATTGCGAATGTCTTATGTATTTTATCCATGGTGTCTTCCATAGTGTTCGATTTTAAAGGTTTAGTTTATGGCTCGAACTACCAATTCAATAGTTCAGTGGATTAGTCTCTCAGCCGGATAATTTCAAAGGAAATAATAATTGACAAGGCTGAAAAATATTATGTATTTAGTAAAACAAGGTTTATTATTGTAAATAATTATAATACTATTGCACTGTTGTGTAGAGAGAGAGAGAGATGATTCTATTGAAGTAATGAGGGTGTGTTCTTGTATTCTTGATTATTGTAGATTCTATGGATATTACTATGTCTTGTAATTGAGGTTATGCCGATGATGTAAATATCAGCTGATGTAGTCAGTCAATCATGCTTGTGAGGTAGCATGAGAAGATGGTGTTTGTATCAAGTACGCTTGATGTATGAATAACTATACTTGATATGGTATAAGATGTTTAATGGAATTTATTAAGTAATTAATTGTCTTTAATTATTTAAGGGGGCAGTAGAAGAATCTAGTCACAGGTAAAAGTGGTTAATGGTAAGATTTCTAACTCGTGAAGTATTCAATAATCTGTATTTATATTCTATTGGTCGATCTGTTTTTGTCCTTCCTTGATAACGTGTGTAAATCACAGTGACTCTTGTGTCCGCTGTTGAAGGCCTGTACGATGTCGAAGTGTTAGTTTGAGAGAGCGTAAGTGTGCCCTGTTTGTGCTAGCGGGCCTGTGCTATGTCGAGGGTTAGTTCGAGAGAGCATAAGTGTGCCCTGTTTGTGCTAGCGGGCCTGTCCGATGTCGAGGGATCAGTTCGAGAGAGCGTAAGTGTGCTCGATCGACTTTATCAAGCCTGTATGATGTCGAGTGATTAGTTCGAGAGAGCGTAAGTGTGCTCGATTTATTTTTGTGCAAGATGTGAATAGTTTATTTATTAACATAAAGGTGTACCTGGTGAACTGCAGGCAAGGTGTATTATTACTGCGGACTTGATGTCCCCTTTGATTACTATTCCATTGGCTTCACTGTAATCAGCACTGAATCTGCCGATTTTTATTCATTAATGCTCACGTATATTATTAACTTTAATGCTGAATCTACGGCCACGTGTTGTCTTCACAGTATGCTGAAACACTGAGCGGCAATTACACTTGAGTGAGCGCGGAGTGATATTACAATGAGCGTCGCCATATGGCGAGCTGCGCTTAAATATGCATGCAGCGGATGCAGCGCCGGCAACAGTGCCGATGCGAGTCTTTTCCAGAAAATTCCTTGTGGCATTGGAAAACGAAGCTTCTAGAAGTTTCGTAGGCGTTCTTTTTTTGTGAGATCAGATAATAAATTATATTTCATGTCGTAAACTTGCTCGGACTTGCCGAGTTTTGTTTGTAAACATTCGCTCGAGTGCGCGTCCCGGTCCGCACGTGCGTGCCGGTCTAGGCGCACATGTTGTACGCCGCACAGCGCGTATGACCTTTTTTTTTGAAATTCATGGAACTGCATCACTCCGAACACATAGATAGTATCTCATTCATGTTGTGCTCCATGTGCTGAGACTATTGCTTATTCTTTTTAGTGAGGTTTTAATTGGTTGTGTCGTGTCGCCCAATTTTTGATACAACTTCATGATCACCGCTGTGGCCTTGATATGACAGATGAATTCTTCTACCAAGGCATTTTTTGTAAAGTATTCGTGAGCAAGGCCTGATTGTGGCCAGCTCGTTTCTATGGAATCGTGTTCCATTATAAACTTGGTGTGCGTTTTATCGATCTTGTTTTTTATTGCTAGTGCTTCATATAGGCTGATGTCTACGCGTTCTGTTCCGAGACTGTCAGTTAGTGTTTTTATAGTGGTAATCCGGGCCCACTGAGATACGGCTTTCATTAATTGTTCGATTGTTAGTTTTTCCATGGTTGAACCATATGTAGTGAGTTCCTGGACGTTGGATGTAATTGCGCTCCCGCAATCCTTGATTTCCTTTTTGTCTTGATAAGACATTTTGTTATAATAAGTGCAATAATGGCGTACTTACAGTATCGAAGAAACTTTCTTTATTGTGATCAATTATCTACTTGCAATATTATTACCATGGTTTCCTTTTGATATAGTAGTATTGGACGCATGCATATATTTCCACTTATCCGGCTTGAAGGACCAAATTGTCTGGGATCAGACTTAAAACCTCCTTATGATTGTGGGTGGAGGTGTTGCTGGAAAGTGGAAGGGGCAATGCAATTATTCAATACTGCTTTTAATGTTTATTGTCTTTTCCTTTATTAAATATGATAAATATAATAAATAGTTAATGATCATAAAATGTATGAATGAAGGTGTGAGTGAATAAATAAGGAAAGTTTCTTCAGTTGGTAATGAGAGTGTATGTACTCTCGGTAGAGTGGGGCGCGATCCCTTCTCCTTGCAAGATGAGTCGCTGTGGTGGTGGGCGCGCACTGGAGGGACGAGTCGAACGACGCTGCTCTTGCCGCCGGTGTAGCGTGAGTGCCGCTATGCCTGTGTGGTGGGGAGGACTTCGTGTTGCGGCACTGCGTATGTGAACGGGAGGTTCGCCAATGGTGGATGTTTGAGCCTGTATTGGTGCGGTTGTAAGGAACGTCCGTGATGCGTTACTGCTTATGTAGGCGTGGAAGTCGGTATAGTTAGGGTAGTATGGAACGTTCGCGGTGCGTTGCTTACGTCAGCGTGAGAGCCGGTATAGTTGTGGCGTCACTATTAGTTCTTTAGGCTGCTTGATGCTTGCGTCTGTGAGTAGTTGTAGTGAGCGATGTCTGTAGTGGTGACACCTTGAAAGACGGATAGAGAGATCATAGTGGAGACTGCGTGATTAGTACTAGCAAGTGATCATGCGCGTCAAGCGCAGCTCCATAAATATTCTCGTACGAACTTGCGGCGTCGGTAGCGCATCGGTGGCTGTTGCTATGCCAATATTTGTCGTAACGTCAATAGGGCATAGCCTTGTAAGGTTCATTGTTATTACTTTTCGGAATTATAGTCGTACATTCGAGTTTCGGTGTAGAAGTATTTTTCGAGTTCGTTGGCTAGTGTTTATAAACAAATGTTCGCGCGCTCATGCCTCTCCCACTTTGTATTCCGCTTTCAACTGTCTCAATCCGTAACAGTTACTTATTAATAATTAGTGAAAATGATTTTTACTTAGTTTACTTTTGTTATTATATGATATATTGTAAGTGGTTTAAAAAATATATGGATAGCTTTGAGTAATTGGAATTTGCTTAATAATAATAACAGATTAACAAAAAAGGTTTTTTAAAAATAAAGCAAAATACAAATATATCTACACATTAGAAAGTGCAGCGCCTATTTCGGAACAAAATGGTACTTAATGTAGTGTACGAATGTCAGCTAAATGTGTAGACAGATATAAGAGAGACCGAATATAATAAAATTAAAATATTATAACAGATTTTATTCTTCTTCCATTGATTAATTTATATATATTTATGCTATTAAATTAATTATAACAATAAATTCCGTCACAGATATTTTTTTTCAAATAATTTTGAATTTCAATAATAAATAACTTAAATAAATTAACCAGGTTGAAAATATTAGGTTATTATAAGTTCATTATACTTTATTGTACTCTATACAGAATAACATTGAGTGAAAAAAATTCAGTATATGAGGAATAAGAAATAAATAAAACATCATTAATAAGTATATAAAATATAGCAATCAATTAAAAAATTTATGTATAATAAGATACAATATTGTGGCAGTGAACTATTTATTGATATATTAAAACAATAATCTAGTGTATTAAGTAAGTAATGAATCTGTATTAGCAATAGATATAATTTAAGCTTGGCTTTACAATATTTTATGTTGAATGAATTTAGTTAAAAATTTTAGTGCAATGAATAAAAAACTTTATTGACACAATTACATGCAAGTATGTATTACATATAAAAAATTTATATCGATATGCACAAATATATATATACATATATATAAATATATACTTATAATATAAATTGATAAAATAACCGATAAATATTAAACTATAAATTTACCTAGATTCATAAATGGCATAGTAAAGTCAACAGCGGTTTCACGTTCGGCAGTTATTGTAAGATCTGTAATAGCTAAGTCAGCTTCCTAAAAATATTACAAGAACTTTTTAAATATTTCCTTTTAAATAAAAAAAAATATTAATATATACACAATATTTATTATTAGATTTTTAATGTTACATTATACGATAGTTACCACTTTTCGAACAGACAAAAATCCATATGATTAATAAAAATCGGTTTATTTTTTATTCAATGTTATTGTCCAGATTAGCAGTATATTGTCTTTAATTTATTAGTTCTATTATAATTAATATTCATTTATACTTAATAGTACACACACACGCTCGCACACATGCACACACACACACACACACACACACACACACTCACATATATATAAATCTTTGAAAATTATATTTTATTTATTTTATATATTTTATTATTTATACATTTTCTTAGTTTGAAACTGAAAGATGTTAAATCATTTCGTTGTAAAGTATTAATAAAATACATAGAAAAATGTTAATCCAACCTGTGTAAATAAATAAATATATATATATTTATTATTTTATTTATTATAAGAATTGCCATTATGAAAATACTCTAAAAAAATTAATTTCACATGTTACAGAATAACCACAGGGCGAATTATAATCTGAATATATTAATTACAATAATTAATAATAATTGAAAATTAAATAAAATCGAGAATAAAATTCTTATGGTTTTATATTATATGGGAGACGTCATTTTAATTTTATTATTGGAAGCATATAATACAAAACGGTTTAAAATATTCTTGTATTTTTAAAAATAATAATTTCATTGAATGATATATCTATACTTCGTGATTGTATTTGAATAGATATATTTATTTATATTTAAATACAACCTGATATACATTTGGCATGTCTACTTACTTAATTAGAAATTGAATGATCTTCTATTGTTCTAATTCTATTGTTAATAAATAATTTTAATAAAACTTTATAGTGTTCTATTATGTCATGTATATAATTGAATAAATGATTATATATGTAAATTATTTTCAAAACAAAATAAGAAGTGATCATATATTTATTAGTTTTTTCAGACTTCAAAAATTTTTCTAGAAAATATAGTTTCTAGAAATTAAGTTATTTTCATTATTAAACATAATTAAAACTAGAATATCAAAAATGAATTATTCTTTTTAAAAATGTAAACAAAAAATTAGGCATATTAAAAATATTTGTTAAAATGAAATTATATACCAACATTATCGATAATTTTTTTTAGCATTCCATTCCAATGTCCTGTTTCTCTATTAAAGGATCCATAATTATTATCAGTTTGTACAGAGAAAGTATAGTTAAATCCTAACATTTTACTGATTTCATGAATTATATCTATGGCAAAACCTTCATACTGATCATTTCCTGACATTTTAAAAACTGTTTCTTTCAGCATTCCGTAAGGTTTAGTCTGAAAAAATTTTAATATTATAAAAATTTTATCTTAAATTATAAGTCATTTCAAACTACTATGAAATGTATTTGTATTCATGTGGAAAAAAAATTTATTGCTCCCATTGCAATATAATTCTAATACTATAGCCGATTCAACGCATTAACACGAAACATCATTGACGTACATATAAAATGACTAAGATATGAGGACAATGTAAAATAATTATTCAGTGTATGTAGATATAAAAATAGGGCATCTACTTACTTTCAGATAATTAATAACTTAACGATTTGGTAATCAAATTCACAAAATGCTATTTAACATAGTTAATTTTACATAACACGAAAATTGTATACTTTTTATTTTCATTCAATAACACAAATAAATTAAATTGATTGTTTTAAATTTTATTATCAAAATCAAAAAGGGTCTCATTCATTTTTCTTTGCTTGTTTTTTGTCTTTCTCTCTTCAATATTCTTTTCTTACATAATATTGTATCGGGCATATATCTTATACCTAGTTAAAAGTATTTAGGCTATCAATAAGAATTCGTCAATAAATATCATATTCAAAATCAAATTTGGAATAAAAATATAGAATTTTGTTTCTAAATTCTAAATACTAGATATTTCTTCTAAATAATAAGTTTATTTGTTATATCCAGATGTACCGTAAATTGTATCAATTTAAACAGTAAGGAAAATAAAATTGTATTATTATAACTAATAAATACATTATCAAGTGCGCGCGCGCGCGCGTACGTGTAATTGTCTAGGTTACATGGTGTGGGTTCATGATGAGCATTAATATTCTCCGTCTTCATAGAATTGTATCACAAGTATTTTTTCTGTATACGTATTTTTACAGAGTAATACATATAGATAATGTGTCTATTATTGATCTGCTGCATCCAAAAAAATCTAAAATGAAATTATCTTGGGTATAAAATGTTATTACATCCATGTACTGTTAATTGATATTATTTGGACAGAAGTACCGTGATAATTATTAAAAAAAATTTGCATTCCGATAATCATGACGAGGTAGTCAATATTTAATAAAATCTGGATCAACGAGTTAATTTTAACTACTGTCCTCGCCAAAACTGTAATAAATTATGTCTTTTAACTAAGTCCATGTAATACAAATTAATAATAAACTTTATCTGAGATCAGTTGATGCTTCTTATAGTAATCCAATTGAAATCCATTTAACATGCTAGTTATGTAAATTAAATTGGTAAAAATATCGATATCTTATTAAAGAGCATGCACAAATTCTATATGCGGTTATATTCTAGGCTATATGCGGTTATACTGATACATAGAAGTGCGAGATTTACTAGATCTTCTCAGAAGAAATATTTTCATTCGAAAGTATATACTCTAAATAGAGATATTTATTTAAAGTTTCTATTTAAAAAGTTTCGAAGAAGCAAATAACTCAGCATATTTTAAAACGTTTTAAAGTGCTAAACACATTTATTGGTGCACTGTTTCAAACGTATTGGACTTTATCTAAATAGAATAATAAATTAAACCGAGAAAGCTAAAAACATATGGTTGCATCGCATTCAGAAAATTTGTTCACAATCTAAAAAAAGAAATATTGGTTTAATTAAACGATTAAATACGGAAAATTTATTTAACGTGTGCTTATCTTCCTCAATATTAAAAAAATTGCTATAATATACATATTATTTAGCGTAAAATATTTACAGCATATTTTTATTATGAAAGAAAATTTTTAACTATTCTATAATAATTTTAGAAATGATATTAATTCACAGTCGAACATGAAAGTAAAATTTTATTAGACTTGGTTCCTTTATCGGGATCTAAATTTAATTATGGCTTGGTTGAGTTTCTTTATTGCTTAAAGAAAGTGTACAAGTGAAAAATGATTTGAATTTCTTGTACGAGAAATATACTAATAATATATTTAAAAAAATTTAATTAAAAATAAGAGTACATGACATTTACGACTATTTTATATGTGCAGACGTAGAAAAATATAAACAAGTTGCAAAAGAAATTAATTTTTTTAATAAGAAAAAGTTAATATTTAACTTATAATGGAATGTGAAATTTTATACAATACTACTACTACTCGATGTATAATTGTTTAAAGCTAATTTATTATACATTGACAATTCATTAAACTATAATCGGTTCAAAATCGTAAATAACTGTAACACAGTGGCATATCATAAAGAACTCTCCTTATAAAATGGCAGGATCTGCAGATTATACTTTTGGCACATGTACTAAAAAGCGAAATAATAATTAAATAGTTAAATAATCACAAACAATCTATAATTAAAAGAAAGCAGCATAATATAAATACTAAAATTTTGTATTTAAATGATATTTCATATAATGTTAATACATAAATACTAATAATATTTTGGAATTTAAACACATTATTGTATTAAAACATAAAATCCTATGTTAATAAAATTTAACAAAAACATCCTTTTAAATGAAACTCTTACAAATCTTTCTCAAGGCTCCCTATAGAATAAAATATGTTTTAGATATATCGAAAAATACCTAATCAATTATAACATATGTTTGAAAGTCTGTTTTCTTTAATGAAAAGTTAATTGATATATAAAAATATATATGAAATTGTTTTTACCTATAAGTATTAATTACATTTCTATTGTTTTAGTTGCATTCACTTATAATTGATTTTATTTTATATACATTTACTTCTATTATTATTTTTTATAGATTTACCTATATCTATAGACTATTTCAAAATTCTGTAATATTTATATTTAACTTACCTACAATAACTAAAGCCTCTGTTCGAGATTGAGAGAATCTCTCGTATATCATTTGAGGGAAAATGCCAACGGCTATCATTTCAGTGGAAATTATTCAAGGTCATAATTTCTAAGAATTGTTGAACAATCGTCAGAGGTTTGGGGAAGTTCGCGCAATGATCGACTTCCTTGTTGCTAGCTATCAAGGATGCCACGAGGTTATTTATGCGAGATTCTAATAACATTTTAAGAATTTCAGATATATGAAAACAATTGAGCATTATAACTAGAGTTATGGGAATCCCAGTTCATTCGACATCAGGCAATAGTCGTCACAGCAGTGTTTACAATGTAATGGGACACTACGCATCCATTGTTGTCAAGTACGCCACATGTTGCCACTTGTACAAGCCAAGCGACGACGCTTGACTAGGAGCTCCTCTTGTCGCGAAGTCTAAGAGAAGAATGAGCCTCCAAATTGAGTTTATTATTCCAATTTATTTACTAGTAGTTAACATACTAGTAAATACGGCCACAATAATAGCCGACGCTCCTACTGAAGTCGGAAGACGGAGGCACGCACGCTCAGTCATGCTACCTAAAACGGCGCGCTCTGTTTGGAGAAACTAAGGCTTAGACGTTCCTAGAGTGGGGACTCACGGAGAGAGGCCTTAAAAGTGGGGACGACACAAATACAAAAAAGCTGTCTAAGTAGAGAAGCCAAGAACGAAGCAGCAGTAGTTAACATACTAGTAAATACGGCCACAATAATAGCCGACGAATAAAACACCACATTGCCATCGCCAGCCCTTTCGAGACTGCGGTAACAGTGAGCTACTCATCACAGGATTAGATCAAGCCTACTGCATCACTGTGAATACACAACAAATCTGCATTGCCATTTCCAGTTCATCTGAGACTTGGATAACGCAATCATTAAACAATATAAAACACACTCGCTAAAAGGAAGTGTGCCACTCAAATGTCGATCCTTACAAAATCAACAACAAATTATAGATTTCAAGGAACATCTTGTGTAGTGAAACATCCATCACAAGAACCGTTCCAAGCAATCTTATCTTTGCAATAAAAATTAGGATACACTTAATACATCAATAATGTAATTGTAAAATGTAAATAAACTATATTCATCGAAAACGCAGTATATTTCTACAGCGCTTCCACTTATCTTCTTTCCAAGCCTTTGCTAGGGCGGGCGGAAAATATAAGCTATCGAATCATTGGCAGTTCGAGCCAGGAAAACTACAATTTTCAATAGCTTCGAAATAGTTATTAAGTATAGTGATTTATAATTATGTACCATTTTTTATATTTATTATATTTTTTTATATTTATTATATTTTTTTATATTTATTATATTTTTTTATATTTATTATATTTTTTTATATTTATTATATTTTTTTATATTTAATTATATTTTTTTATATTTATTATATTTTTTTATATTTATTATATTTTTTTATATTTATTATATTTTTTTATATTTATTATATTTTTTTATATTTTTTATATTTTTATATTTTCTCATTAATAAATTATAATTATATGTATTACGTTTTTTTATACTAAGTTAAAAGTTTTCTTGTTTATTATTTTAAAAGTCTTTTGTTAACTATGAAGTTGAAATTTTAATTTAAATTTAATTTGTCAAAAATTTTGAAGATCTTCAAATATTGTAAATGTAATTTCTTTTACATGATATAAGTTTTATACGTTAATGTATACATTTCACATATATTGTTAACATTTCTATTTTATCGTATGAATTACATAGAAATTCTTTCAGATTAAAATTGTACAATAAAATTTTCAATTCAATATCACACAATAGTATATGGAATAACAACGGGTATATGTAATGTAAACCTGAATGTGAATACTTTATTTTATGTATTTTACAATATTATTAACATTTATATGTGAATTTGTAATCTTTTTAATATATACAATATATCTGTTTCATATTTAAGATATAAATAAATTATTATTCTATAATATATAGAAATTAAATTTTTATAACATAATTTATAATTAATTTTGAAAAATAGTAATATATATTTAAAAAAATATATTGACATGATTAAATTTTATAAAAATTCTCTTTATGTTTACAAAAATAATGTTTTTAAGCAAATGTAATTTTAGATTAGTTGAATATTTTGTTTACCTATGAATTCTTACCAATGCTATAAGTACTCTAAACGTTGTATTGCGAAAACTAAGAGTGCCCGAATGAATACCTATAGATGCATCTGTGATCCATTCTATATTTCTCGTAGAATTCCATTTTCCAATTACTTGTATTCCAGAAAATGTTAGTTTGAATATTTCGATTTCAAAGTTACTTCGAAATCCTGCATTATCAAAAGTAATTAATCCCGTTAATCCTTTACTTTCAACCTACGAAAAAAAATTTTTTAGTTTAATAAACAAATAATACACACACACACACACACACACACACACACACACATATATATATATATATATATATGAACGTATTTTACCAACAAAAAATATTCAGATGAATTAATTTTTATAAAAAATAAAATACATAGAACTTTTAATAATATCAAAAATTTTTATCTTAAAGATGTAATTTAAAATTTGTATGTCTTTTTAAAAAACAGTTATAATATCTATGCTTTAATAAGGCGAATATTAATGTACTTTGTTTTTGCTATATTGTACATACATATTTTAATAATGTATACTTCAATTGCTCTAACAATTACTTTAAAACAAAATTCACATACATTTGCACTGTAATCTAACTTAAAATAAATAAAACTATAACACTTACAGTTTATTTATATTAGGAAATATCGATTAAAAATTTAAATACTAGTACACTTAGATATCATACACTTAAAAATATAATTAACTTGCCTCTCGTTTATAAATGAGTTTAATATTTAACTTCTGAAATAAATTTATAATTAACTTCAGGTTGCTAACACTCAATATCGAAATATAATTTATGTAATCTATTCAATGTATACGAGTATAACCCAATATGATTATAACAAATACTGTAACGTAGAGTGTTTTCAGAAGAAACCGATGACTTTGATAGTGAGTTATACTAGGAAGTAATACGTATAGAAAAACTAATATGTCGAATGGTAAACAGAACTAAAGCTTATGGAATTAAGAAGCTGGTGATTAAATCCGTCAATTTTAACTATTAGGAGATAACAGTTCTGATTCTTTTTATATATGCGATATTTATGTACAGTTTAACATACTACACATGCCACTACACATGGTCAACAAGAAGTGAAAAGTTTGAGAAATCAAGGAATTATATAGCTTATATAGCTCATGCTATTACACAGATTCATGGATACACGAATACATTTACTTGCATACAATTATACAGGCCTTATGCCCGCATGCATTTACAAATGTATATAAATGCATACAAACATAAATATTAACATATATAATTTAACATATATAACATTCGGCTCGAAAGACCAAATGTTCGAAATTGTTTGATTTCCTGACTCGAACTACCGATGTTTTGATAGCTTTATAATAAATGGCCAGCCGCCCTAGCGGATGCTTGGGTCAAGTGGAACGGCTGTAGAAATATGTAGTACATACAGATTTCTTTAACATATGGTTTATTAACAATTACATTAGTAATGAACCCTATTTACTTTACCTTATTACATAATACTGTGATTGCTCCTTAATGGTAATGATGTTGCTAATCTTGTAAGGATCAGCAATGGATGGTGCATACTCCTTGGTAAGAAGTATGCCCCTTGTTGTGTACATAGTATGTCTGCTAATGTTGTAAATATTAGCAGGAATATGCGCACATTCCTGGAAAGAAGTGTAGCTTAAATATTAATGCAGTATTATGAACATTAATGCAATCATAATGTTTATTCATTCGTGCGCGGATACGTATAAGACTGCCAATATTGCTAATTGGGATGCATCAGAAAACACATGTAGCTCTATGTGTTGAGCAAACATGGTATTGCAATGTTAGTCAAGTTGGTGAGATCTCTTTTAATGGTCAACCATCGTGCAGAAAGTTGCAATAGCAGTGTCTCGTCCGATTGGAGCTTGTGCAGTCACAGCTTCTGCATGAATATTTGTGCCTTTATCACGACCGATGATATAAACCTAATGGGTAAAATATCTAAGCCACTTCAGATAACACCAAGCGTTTAGTAAGGTTATCAACTTAAACTGACGTCTTTCCTGTGGTGAGCGTATAGTGTCCTGTTGAGGAGACCACCGTAATCTAAAGATTTTTGTAGAGCAATCGTCGAATGTAATTGAGGTGGTCAGATTATGATTCGCGTTTATTGCGGTGATAACCTCTTCGTTAACCTTGGTTAACTTGGTTAGGAAATCCGTCCGCCGTGCAGAGGTCTCGTAATTAGAGAGCGACCTTGATTAGTTGTTCGGGACTATCTGTATTTCTGAAAATGTCATGGACATATCTTCCATGACCGATGGAAGGCACAGCAAGAGGGTATCTACATCTGTCATCCTCTACTAATTGGAGCAATGTTCTGATTTCCAGAAATACGGCAGCCTTTCTACCGTAGGTGACTATTGTTAACTGATAAGGTACTTCTACCTGTTGTTCGACTATCCACAGGATTCTGAAGGCACCGGTCATCTTTGTGAATTTTGATTTGCCTGTACATTTTTGTGATATCGGTGGCAAACAAGCATCGTTGTCTTTTGATCCAGATTAAAACATTTGATTTGTCTGGATTCAAATTGGGTCCAGTATGCATGATGTCGTTGATTGAAGAACCTGATGTTGATATACTGAAGCCATTAAATATCATTCTTAGTTTTGTTGTGGTGCTGTAAGGTTTGAGCATACCGTGATGTGGCAGATAATATTTAAATTGATAATTGGACTCTGGAGGAGCCTTCGTCATAAAGTTCAGATCCTCATATTCCATCATGAAGTGCTGAGGTTGTTACCGAGATGGTTGACAGATATTACCAGAGAAATCCAAAGTATATACCTCCAAGTAGAATCACGTGATTTAGTACTCTTGAAACATTCTTCGCACTGCTGTTCTTCAGGTGTATACTTTTGATCGCTATTTGATTTTAACTCTTCCTGAACCCAAAATTTCGTTAGTAATTCTTATAATGTATCTTCGTCATCCTGATTTGAAATATGGAGTGCTGTGAACGTCGGAGATCTTATCGAGTGTATAGGTCCCAGCACAAGTCATCCAAAAATGAATAACTGCTCCATTGATGACGTGAGGCTTAATGATCTGCCCATACATGTCTGCACCAAGAATTATGTTTACTGAACGAGATGTAAAATATTGCGGATCGGCCAGTGTTAGGTTTTTCAAGTGTGGCCAATCGTGTGAGATTGGTTCGAAGGAAGGAAGGAATTACTGCTGTCTATGTCTTAAGAATGTGAGCCTGTATGGAAACAATGGAATTCGAATGTATTGAGCGGAGAGTGAATGACACAACACCTAGTGTCTTAGTTGATTGAGATGGAATGTCTTCAAGGAATGCTGAGTTGTCTAATGAGTTTTACGTTGACGAATGTGAGTTTCGAACCTGTATCAATGAGAAGACGAACTTGTACGGTAGTAGATTTTGACAGATTTTGGCCATGGCTGTGGTTAGTAATGTGATGATATACACAGGTACTTTGACGATTACACCATCATCTCAACTGGAAGAGGGGTTTGAACTATTGGCTTGAGTAGTATCTGAATTAATTTCCTCATATAGTAAGGCACCGTACTGTCTGAAGCACTTCTTGCATTGTGTAAGAGTTCTGCACAAGCTGGTATTGTGATGTTTCAGGCAGTTGAAACAGAGTCCTTGTCGTATTACTAGATTTTGTTTCTCTACTACTGATATGTCCATAAATTATGGACATTTAAGAATCCAATATGCGCAGGTGCAGCATTCGCACGTGTTTAACCTGTGTTTTTGTGTCGAGAGTTTTGGGTGGGCATTGTTCACTGATACCTAATATGTTCTTGATATTCTTTTCGTGAAGCGTTTTAATCATATAGCGTCTCCGGGTCGAACTTTTATTGAGTTCATCTCTGTCAGCATCCTCATTCGGTACAGTAGAAAGTCTTCCAATTGTTCAAAACGCGGGTATGAGGTGGACGAGCTAATTGATGACTCTCACACTTCCCTTGTGGCATGATCGAGTCGTCGAGAGACCAGGTATCAATAGACAATGCCCAGCCCCAAATTCTCGGCACAAAAACACAGATTTTATATATATATATATATATATATAGAGAGAGAGAGAGAGAGAGAGCAAGCAGAATAAGTACATTTCTTATATTTATATAGAGTATATTCAATATAATTCTTGTTTTGGATTAATACATTTTAATTACCTAAAAACTACAAGTTATATCTTTAGTTACTAAGGCAAACTTAATATAAATACAAAAAGAATAATATATTAATACTATGTTTTATTTTGGAAGATTAAAATTTATTGACTGAAATATGTACATATATCTTAAGAGTTTAATTTAATATCATTCTTTTATAATTAAATTGGTTTATTCGTTTCATGAGTTATTAAAATGAAATTTATTAGTAAACTATCAATTACTAGTCTTATTTAATGTTGTTATGATAATTACAGAATGCAAGAGAAAACAATTTATGAAATGTAAGGCTTTTATTTGGTTCATTTAATTTAAATAGAATCAATAAATTACTTTTATGCAGTAATATAATTTAATTGTGTAATAATTAATTAAAAATATAAAATGAGTAATATAAAAAATAATTAAAGATTAGTTAATTGTACTAACCGATTTGATAAAATTATTCAAACTTATTCCATATTCCCAACTTTCTATGTTGCTGCATAATATTTGTTTAATGTTACTTTTTGTTGCTAATGCTAATCTTCTAAATCCTTCAATGAATAACTGTACTGCATCATAAAGCAAAGCTTGTTCTGTACGTATGTTGTTTGGATTACTTATGCCAAAATCCAATTCTTGATTTGTTATTAGATCGTGAAGCTTAATTATACTATCAGAATTTAATAAACGAATTCCAGTTATATTTACTCCAGAAAATTGAAATAAATTCAAATTAATTGTATGTAAATCCTGTAGTTAAAAAAATATACAAGATAAAATCTATTTAACCAATAAATAATATATAGTTACATTTTTAATACACTTTCATAAGAATATTTTAATTTTACATAGTTTACCTTGTAATAAATAAAAAACAGAAAACTACTGTATAGTATGAATAAAACTCGACATAATTAAACATTTCATTTAAATAATAATTGTGCACTATAACAAATATAAAAAATTTGTTAAAAATACAAGTTAGATTCATTTTTTTTGCACATACTTAACTGATACAATGACATTATTCTTTAATAACTTTTATATTTACTTGTAGTGTAGAATAGTACCGTGGAAAAATATTTTCAAAACTTGTAAAATAATTTCTTTATGTTTAAAACTTTGTAATAAATTGGTAAAATTATATAATATATATTTTCACGAATGCAATTTAATTTTGAATTTTATTTAGTCTATCAATTATATTAATTTTCATAATTAATTTTCACAATATTTGAAACAAATATTTAGAGTAACACATACATATTTATAGATATATAATAAAAGAATATAAAAAGAAACTAAAATATAGATAGGTTACACGAAATTTAGGAAGAGGATAAGTTAATGATGTTAAGGAATAAAAGGATAAAAAAATAATAGCAATCAACTGTGTGTAAAACTGTCGCCAGCTTCAAAGGCATAAGTGAAAGAGTTTACTCATATTGGCATATTCATGACTCTATTATTAAAGTTATCAAAATTAGATGCTTCCATGATGATTATATAATTGTAAGCAACTGAAGCTAGTGCTATTAAGGCCAGACATTTGCATGTCTTAGATATAGTAGAGGAAAAATTACATGCTATCGTACGTTTCATTAAAAATAAAGTGTATATAATGGTTAATATTTATCTCATGTTAATGGCTGTAGTTATGAATATAAATTCATGTATAGTGTAACATGATTGTTTGTACTTGTTCGAGAGTGAAAAGAAAATCTCTCGAATTATATTCATTACAAAACTTTCAACAGCTGATAAAAGGGAATTATCGAACGGATTTAAAAAGCTAAGAAAGTCTCGTCAAGGTTGCTGGAGACTTGAAAAGGTTTGTACATCTGGAAACTCGTAACCAGCCACTTTATTGCTTTTCGAATTGCAGACGTAGTAATTGTTTTGAATGCAATAAACGACCCTTGCGACTTAACATCAAAACCCGGCCAGCCTGTTTAAGCGAGAATATTTTGAGGTGAAAAATATTTGAAAACAATCGAGTGAAAAACATTTCCTAAAATCTATTGCAACCCGAAACTCGGCACATTCGACATTGGGCAATCTGCGCCGCACGTGTGCCTTCAATGCCACTAGCAAGCATACATTGTTGTCAAGTACGACAAATGTTGCTGCTTGCATAGGCCAAGCGAAGACGCTTGACCAAGAATCAACCCCCACCATGCTGACACCAGGAGAGGGGACAAACCTTCGACTGTAGGCGTTGCCTCCAACGATGCTCTTCCGATGTCCATGCCTAATTTCCTCAGAAGTGGGAAAAGAGCGTGTACAATAAATAATAAATTCAATCAAAAACCCAGCAAGCTTTAACATACAATGTGATTGAAATTATAAAATTCAATCAATTCTATGTCCAACTAAATTTCTTATCTAAATAAAAAATTTATGTCATAAAATTTGATCGAAATTCAGTTATTATTTTTAGATATTTTTATAAATAAAGATTATTTCACTTACTGAATCTAAAGCACTTTTACAATATTAAGAAATGCAAAGGGAATGCACGTGTAATATAAATATATGTAAAGATGCATATCAGTAACGTATAAAGTATTATATGTATTATATATATATATATAAGTATAGATATATATGCAATATTCTTTGAAAACTTGGCGCGTGTCCGACATGGGGGTTAAAAATTCGCAATACTATGAAGTCGTATTATGCATGTCAACAGCGAAATCGTAGGAAAGAAGCTGCGATTTTCTATTAATAGAACTACACTACATCCTAAAATATGATAATATTATACAATCAAAAATCTTTTTATCAGTAAGCGAAAAGCATACATGCTCCTGTATAAGTAGCTTTTAACGTTCATTTCTTAAAAATAAACCTGTAAATAAATTTTCCTTATAATAAATAATAATTGAATTTTTAACCATCATGATTAGCAGGTGAGTTTAAAATTTAAATATTACACTTTTTAAAATCTACTTACAAGCATTTTTTTTTAAAGAGTAGCGTAGTTACTTTAATTCTCGATATTTTCTTGTCGTAAGGTAATGTAAGGAATATATTAGTAAAAATAATCTTGACTCTCTCTCTCTCCCTCTCTCTTTCTTTGACAATTAATTTAGTTTTGGATTTATTTTGATGTATAACTTGTCATAAACACGCTAATATGCGTAATATGAAATTTAACGACAATTAACCCGTAATATAATGTTATAATAAATAATACTCTCCAGAATACTTAAAGTTTCAAGAAAAAAATTTATTTATGCTTGAAATTAAAATACATATAGATATTAAATACTAATTATTGTATAATTTTGCTAATAATTACGCAATATAAAGTATAACAAAAAAATTGTTCAATTTATTATCGAATAAGGGGGAAATATTCAGTAATAACTAAAAATAATAAAATAATTGATTAAAAGAAATAGAAAATGAGTAAACTAATACAATTATGTATCTATAATATAAAATATTAATGGTATAATATAAAATATTAACAGTATAAAATGTTCGGAATTGGAGCATTTTTTAAAAACCATCGGTTCTCGGAAATTTATAAGCCTTCTAGTTCTCGAATTTGTAAATATTTATTCCTGGAATTCTCGAAGCTCCTGAAGCTTGATTCTCGAACGTTCTGCAAGTCTATCTAGTCCGCATAGCAACATCTAAGTATTGCTGTCAGCTAACTTAGCTGTCGCGTGGATATTTATGGAAGCACGCATCAAGAGACATTGTCAGTTACTCCTCTGAGTTAGTTATTCATCCTAGCCCGTCAGCTACGCTTCAGCTACGCTATTAAACTGACTGCTATACAAGGAAATAGTCGACTACAAAAAACATGTTATCGGAACACTCCTTCACACGAAGGTATACCAGTACTTTCTATTGATGGTAACTACCACCCAAATAAATTCCATATTCCCATAATTAGAATGCGTATAGTCGGCTCTCCCTGTTAATCATTACAACATTAGCACAGACCACAAAATCAAGCTATAATATTCCTTTTCAAGGAGTATGCATAATCCATTACTGATCTCTATAACATCATCAACGACATCGTCACCATCACCAAGCAGCAACTACATCGTTGTGATAGAACATAGTTGACATTCTCCCATGTGAAGTGAATTCAGAATCAACAATAATATAATTGCCAATAAACCAAAATAAACGATATTTTAACGAAGTTTGCACACACTGTACATCTTTACAGCCCTTCCACTTAAGTCTTGCGGGCGGAAATTAACTGAACTATCGAACTTAGCAGTTCGATCCAGAACATCAAACACAGTTTCGAATAGTAAACTATGAGACAGAGATTATATATTATCAACAAATATATTTTATTATGAAATGCCTATATTATTTATAATGGAATTTACATTGGAATTCCGAGCAAATATTACAAATATATAGGGAAATATACAATTACATATTACATAAAAATTGCTTTATAATATAATATTATAATATATTTATGTAATATATTCATTGAAATTGTTGAATCATTAATATATACACATAAGTATGGTATATTATTTTTTAAAATACACTACATTATTAAATATTTTATGAATATTTAATAAATTATAAAGATAACTATTTTTAAAAAATTTACAAATCTCAATTATAACAATTTTCAGATAAATATATAATAAAAGAAGTATTTTCATTTTTAGAAAATCAAATATTTACGTCAGATATTGAAAAAAATTTTAAGTAATATTTAAATAGTATGTCTTTGAACGATTGATAATTTTTAAGAAATTAAATGTTCAACAAATATTTCAATATAATTCGAAACATGATTTAAAATAAAGTAATTATTTTCAATAAAAATCACCTTCCTATGTATGTTTACATAATTTGAACATTTCTTTAAGTTTTAATTCCATATTAAATGTAACTGTATGTTGTAAGACTAAAAAATTCCACCTACTATGTTAATAACAAATTTAATATTTCATTCTTTAAATAATGCAAATTTGTATTTGAATATAACATGAGAAGTAACCCCTGTAATCTATTATTTTATATTTGTTACTTTTCAAATCTTCTAAATGATACAATATGTAAAAAGTTGTTTTTAACTAAAATGAGACTCAAATTCACTAATCATTCATTACATTCTTTAAGTCAAATTTGACATCAATATTTTTAACAAAAGCGTCGTTAAAAAACAAAATAATACTGTTAATTATTAAACTGCAGTAGTTTTAAACTTAATAATCACACCAAAGTAGAAAGATGGTTGCTTAGCTATAAATTTATAGATTTTCGAAATAGGATATATAATATCTCGTTCTAAAAAATTCCTATATAATTTTCAATACTATCTAATATTCGATAAACTCGATAAACTAATCTCCGAAAATAACAAATTATGGATAATCGTTTTTAATACATTTAATTACTTCAAAATACTTCATATTCTATTTGGCAAATTAAATTAATTTCAAATAACAATGTATATTCAAATATTTCATAATTTATGTGTGAATAAAATATTACACATTTTTTAAATTTATGTAATATTACATTCAAATAATCAAGCGTTGGTTAATTAAAACATTTTCAAATAATTTACTTTGATTTTATTTAGGTTTTACTTTTGGTTTTATTTATATTTGGATTTACTATGGCTATTGATATAAATTAACATTAGCATCAATTATCCTATAAATATTTTGTTTCATTTTTATATGTATACTTTAAGTGATCATTCAATAATCTAAACTATTTTAGTTTCAAAAACGATTTCTCAATACTTTTAGACATTTAAAAGAAATGGGTTGCATATAATTTAATGAATTCTATTATACAATATATTCGTGACTTAATTTAAAGATATATATTAACAGATTATAATTCAAGATCAAACACAAACACAAAGATACATTATTGTCTTCGACAATCTGAGTCATAACAGCTTGTACAAGTATTTTAAACAATTAATAAATGTTAAAGCAAATATATATTACAAATAGAAATCTTAATTTAACTAAATATTTTTTCTTAACTGTATTTATACATTTCATTTTCTTATTTTAATAACTTAGTTGTTTGTCTATATAACACCTTTTCTAGTTAAAAAAGATATTCTTTACAAGTAATATGAAGCGGCTTCCGTTCTTTATACACAATCTTTTTATAAATTTATAATTATCTTGATAATTACAAGAATATATTAAAAATATCAATAATTCGAGGTTAATATGATGATTATATTTCTGAAACCTCGAAAATATCTTAATTTATCAAGACTTTAATGCACTAAGATCAGATGATATACATTGTTTAGATTAGTCATCCGAATATATTATGACAAATTAATACAAAAATAGTATTCCTATTTTTTTTTACAATAAAAGTATAAATCGTGTAAGTCTAATTTGATTTTTGAATTATGGTCAAATTAGATAATTTAGTTCAGGATAACTAAGTTATCTTAGCGATTAGTATTATTCGGGATTGAGGCAGTTTTTCAATTCAAATCTAAAATTGGGATCGATTCCAGAAATTCTTCCCACTCCATAGCGTCTAATATACGACAATACTTCCGCATAGCAACATCATAACGGTTTTCGGCATAGCAACAGGCTATGGCGCTGTTGTCGGCATTGCAAACTATGCCGTGAATATTTAAGAGCAGCGCGCCACGCGCCGCGCCTCTGGTCCATTAACATCCACTAAGTCACCATGCACCGGCACTGTACGTTTAACATCCATTCAATCACTACATATCTGGCTGACGGTTTTTTCTACTATCAATTCAGTTTAGTGCTCATTGTAATTCTATACCTTGTACATTAATTGTTATTATTAGTTAGTGCATCTCACATCAGTGTCACTTGCGCCAGCACGAACTTCAATTGAAATCTCCGACAATCAAGAACATAAGAAAGAACTCGCACCACTACAATACAATAATTCTTTATCTCAACAGAAGCAACCAATAACGCTACAATATTATAATTCATAAACAGAATAAATAATAATTGAACCCAAATATATTACATTATACTGGCATAGTTGAAATTTTCTATTACATATGATTTACTTGGTAAATAGTATGAAATAAAGTATAAATACTATTGAAATCTCATTGAATAATAAAAAATATATATTAATTGTTTACTTTAATTTTATTGTTTATCGGTATATGACCTTGTTTTTATTAGTTTTGTTTTTACTTTTTTACATTAACGGTATTCATATTAGATAAAAAACCGATACGCAAATATTATTAATTTTTATACACAATAGCTTTTTATGTTAAAATAAATATACATTATGATTAAAATAACCTATTAATATAAATTATTTTTAATCAATAATTATACGTAATATTCATAATTTCTTTTAAAAATAGTTAAAAATATAATGAAAATGAAAATGATCGGTAAAAATACTTACCAACGAAGTAATAAATAAATTATATTTATCAGATATTATTCCAACTTGTAAAGCTTGGTAAAGTAAATTTTCAAGAATATCGTAAGAACAATCAATTACGATATTTTTTTCTCCGGAATCTTTAATATCTTTTAGAACATATCTGAAAATGTAAAATAAATATAAATGCACTATATATATTGATTAATTAATACGAGTGATTATTACAAATGATTATTATTATCACTAAAATGTCGTTTTATTTAGTTAAAATTTAAAATTTAATTCGTTAAATAATTTCAATGCATAATTGAAATAATAAATTATAGAAAACAATTTAAAGTTATGAATTATTTCACATTTTGTATGCAGGATTTAAATTGACTATATTTAATTATATATTAAAACTTTTATTGATTTATATGAAATCCTGAAAATTTCAGTTACTTTCCGTTCTTAGTTGTTTAGTGACAGTCCATTATCTTAATCGATGTCAATAGTCTTCTAAAACTAACTACATATGAATATTGAATCTTAAGTTGTAATATTTTTGTTCGAGATTGCGAGAACCTTTTCCTATGCCATAAAACATCTGGCAAAACAACATCGTTAAATTGTCGTTAGACTTCTGAAAAGTCCTGCCCATAAAACATCTGGCAGTAGTGTCATTAAACATGTGCAAAACAAGTCGTAAGACTCGGGAGAACTCAACTCATTAGGCAGCTGCAAGGAATTGCTATGCCCGAAAATTAAAAATCTAACAGTATGTATTGCCTCCCCCTTTGTTGTCAAGTTCTCATGTAATCATCAGACGCATCGAAGGCAACAAGATCAGGGCTCTTCTTGTAGTGAAGATCAAGAGATGCTTTGTAATTGAAGATGAAGCCGCGAGAGGCGCTGCCCTAGCTCTATAAGTCACAAGCTTTCTTATTTTACACAAAAAAGGGAAAGGATCCCCAGCGCCCGAGTCCGAAAATTTCCAAGTTCGAAGATAAACTTTCGTTGAAGTCCTCAAAGAAAAAAGAAGTGGAAAAAATCCCTTATCGGAGTCCGAAAACAATACCAGTTGAAGTCCTCATTGAAGAAGGAAGTGGCAAAGTTCCTCAATTGAGCGGAAGATTAGTCTTCGTTTTATAGTATCATCTACTTTAGGTGGCATAGCCATCATTTAAGATTCAGGTGTCTAAGAAGCCATGTCATCCAGCATACGTAAAGGATTGAGGCCATCTGACAGGTACACATAAAATTATTTTAATTAATTCTACTGTCTGTACTCAAGGCGAAGCACGTGTCCCATATGCATGTAGCACGTGTCAAAAAGCCTTCGTGCCATTTTCACCCACCTTTCCGACCTAACCACTTTCCTAGCTCGAGTCCTACGCTCACGAGGCCAATCTTCGCGCCCTTCAGCACTCATAACAGACACAACACGCGGCCTTCTCGATGATGTGGTAAGAGCTTTACAACCTCTTACTTCCCAGGGAATAGCAACAGTGTACTATGCCATGAGAAGCAAATATTACATCCAATTATCTCTGGTTAAAGTGTGCTTGCTACGGTCAAGTGTGATCTGCCCAAACCAAGAGTTCATTAATTGATAACAGTAAAACAAATAGATGTATTAATATTGAATTAATTACCCTATCCCTTCCACTTGCCCGCACATCTCTACTACATAACATCTCGTGGTCTCTGAGCTGGCTACATAAATAATTTTGGTCCTTTGAACCTGTCTTAGTAAATCAAGCCGGATCGTCGGATACATTTTATACAATTGTATATTTGGAAGATAATACATTAAAAAAAAGTCGTAACGAATGGAATATTCGATTAGGTATAATCAATAGATCTTGAATTTTTAGTCGACGAAATATATTGAATATAAATATACTGATGTAAAAATTAGTCAATTTTTCAATTATAATCATAATATCTGTCTATCAAACTGTTAGTACATTATTTTGAATATTATCTAATATTCGACCTACCTTAGCTGGCAAAATGAATTAATCTTAAATCTCTAGCCAACAATGTATATAATTCTAAAATGTTTCATAATACACATACAGATATTTTCATGTTTTTATATCATATGTAATGTCACGTACATGTATTCGGTATTTAATCCAAACATTTTCAAATAGTATTCCTTCCTTTCTCACGTAAAATGAAAAGGACTGTATTTTTAGATATACATTCATATTATAATTGTTCGAAATTGGAGCATTTTATTTTAAGCCTCGAACTCGGAAAGTTACATTTTGTCAGGCCGAATTTCCGATTAGCCAAAATCGTAAAATTCTCCACTGCTCTACAAGGCTGCTAAGCTTCGTAGCCTAGTGCTAGTTGCCGCACTGGATACTTAAGGAAGCACGCGCCAAGCCTCTTAGTAGTTATTACTCAGCAGTCACTCAGTACACAGTGTCGGTAGTTAACATAAAGCAGTCATCCAGTACGTAATGTCGGTAGTTATAAAGTTCCAGTATTCAGTTATTCGTCCAACCAGTTACCTACGCCCAAGCTACGCTATAACACGGAGTCTTTGCCCGGAAAAGGTCAAGCAACGCACGCTCATTCAACGTAGCTATTGCAGGGAACGTTCGTTCACTTCTCCAGTGTACCAAGATAACAATCCATCAAGGGCTAACTGCCGTTCTAGAAAATAGTTTACTATACTAAGCATGGTATCTGATCCTTCTACTCTCGAAGGTATATCACCTATCTTTATAGTGAATAACTAGCACACAAATACTCCCATACTCCCTTTATGAGTATGGTCGATTCTCCCGGAGACATTACCATACTCCTCCTTATGAGTATAGTCGATTCTCCCTGCTAAGCACTGCTAACTACCATTACCACCTTCCCATGCTCATCTGATGAACATGGTCGATTGTTCTTGTTGATCTTTACAACGTCAGCATGGAACCCAATAAGTTATACTCTTCTTCAGGGAATATACAAAATTCATTACTGATCCCCATGACATCATCAACTACATCGCCACTATTACTAAGAAGCAACTCCATCATTGTAATAGAATAATCCCTTCTCTCCGACAAGAAGTGAACTGTATAATAACTGTATATAACTGTGAACCCATAGAACTGCAATATTGTAATTTTAATGAAACAGAATAAATGATGTTTTAAACGAAGTTACACACTGTACATATTTTTATAATTATTATTTATAAAATAATAAAAATACACGACTTGAAAGTTTATGAAAAAAAAAGAAAGATTGACTTATTGAAGTGAAAATCATATTGCATTTATAGATTTTCTGAGTTATGATATTTCTAGTATAAGATTAAAGAAGAAGACAAGAATTTGCACGTTTTTATTTTTTCTAATTTCCATCATTGAACATTGAACTTACTACTGAAATATAAATATTTTTTTTATATTAGTTAGAAACTGTAAAATAAAACAAAATTAATAGAGGGTAAAATCGATTATTGAATTCAAATTAATTTCAATTCTATAATAGAATATTTTCTTAATTGTAATTTATAAGAAATAATCTTTTTTTATTAAAAATTTGGAGTAGCTGAAAAATTACTTTCACTGAAGAATTTATTATACAAAAATAGTATCTTATTTAGAATTAAATAATATATTTATATAAATGTCTAACCTGTAATTTGTTTCATTGATTATGCGATAGAAAACTATTGGGTAATTTATTGTATTTAATTTTTTTAATGTAAGTTTTAAACGAATTAAACTATTCGTACTATCATATAATAATATGAAACTTTTCCATTTCATATCTTTTATAATTAAATAATAAATCTGGAAATTTTAATTTATGGTGTATTAGTTGCACTAAATTAAATCTTCGATAATAGAATTGTACCTTAGCAAGAGCATCCGCATATGGATATAAATTTATTGACCTTCCTCGTTCTTGATATGGATCCCATTGCACTGTTATATATGGAATTTCCATTGCATCACACATACTTTGAACATGTTTAGAAATTGCTCTATCTAAATATCCAAAGATTGCTGATACTCCTTTTTCAAATAATATACAAGCTATAGTAACAATAATTTATGTTTAATTACATATTGATATACTATTCTATAATAATATTTTCAATGTTATTGTATTCAAAGTTTAATGTTATTATGTATATATAATAACAATATAATATTGTTTGTTATACAGCATTAAAATTGTTATCTATCCAGAATGAATTTTTTTTAATGATTTCTACTCAAATACAAATATAAAAGAATTTAAAAAGATCATTCAAGATTTTTCAAATTAGATAATTAGATAAATACATCAGACCGTAAAGATAGAGATGAAAGTAATGTTTTCATTCAAATGACACATCCTCTCTCTCTCTTTCTCCCTCTCTCTCTCACTCTTCAATTCTTTATTTTCTTGTTGAAGAGATAAAACATTTTTTCCACATTGAAATTGAATATTTAATTACAATACATTGATACATTATCAAATATATGATAATTATATACATATATATGATTAATATATGATAATTACATGATATAAATATATTCACAGGGTTAATATAAATATACTAGTATTCAATATTTATGTTTTATCATTTTTATTAACATAAATTTTTGTAAAATAAAATCTAATATATTTTATTGATCAACATACATTATATTTATTGTAATAAAATCATGTTCATGCATGCTTAACTTTAAATTTATTTAAATTACTTCAGTTCTATTTCTTATATAAGTGTTTTATTTCTGTGTTTCTGAAAACATTAAAACTGAATTATTGTGTTTATATATGATAAAATAACAGTAATATTTTAATCAGTTTGCTAATAGAAAAGATTTTAAAGCTAGCACATATTTACATTTATTTACATATGCGATAACATAAGTTAAAATAAATATTACTGCTTTGTACTAACATTATTAGAAATTGGTCCACTAAATAATAATGTGATGGGTGATAATAAAATTATTTTATTGTAAAATTTGATAAACAGTTAATATCATACAAAGCCTATTGTAGATCAAATATCATAGAACCATATAATGCAAAGTAAAATAAAATAAAAAAATAATTAAACAATAAAATTACATCGAGGTAATATTTTATTTTTTAATATTTCCATGTAATTTTTACAATATGAAACCCGGTCACATTTTTACCGGTGACAAAAAATAGTGACATGTACATTTTTAAGATTCATAAATTGATTAAAATTATATGAAACTTTTTAAAGAATTCCTTATAAAATACAATAACGATTGCTTTTAAAAATCAAAATTATTTGATAATTTTTAGATTATATCTAAATATAAAAAAAATATTTGTACACATATAAGCAATTTACACATAAGAAATTATTACGTAAGAAAATATTACATATAAGAAACTCTTGGTTTAATACCGACCTTTATTAGATATTTCTAAAATATCTGACGAATCTTGATAATGAACAATACTTATATTTATTCTCAATATATCATTTCTATTATAAGATAAATTTATATTCTTGATTGATGACAAAAGAGCTGCTTGTGTAAAATTATCCACCTTTAGCATTGAACCTAGAAATAATTAATAACGTTATTTATATCATAATATGTTTACATTATAATAGATTACTGTAATAGTACATATAAAAAGTAGATAGAATTTAATAATTAATATTAAAAATGATTAAAAATTTATTATGGCTCTCCAAGTAAGTCAAATGTAGGTAATCGATACTTATTATGTTGATGCGTTGTTACATCCACAATCTTGGAACAAGTAACTACGGTTTCTTGAACTGCGTTAGTAGACATACGGGTTTATGTCGTAGTTCTTCCGGGACGTGTAACTACTGTTCCAGTAACAGTGTTAATGCACAATCCGAAAAAGTGTAAGTCGTTCCCGAAATAGCGCTAAATGGACTTTCACTAAAACTTAACTGAATATGAAATGTCTCAAGGGTTTAATATATTGAGAGAGTATTACTAAAAGAGAGATATAAAAAAAGGAGAGACACTTCAGAAAAGGTAATATCACGAGAATACTACTAAAGAAAAAACTATCAAGAGTAAATATCAAGACAGTTAAATATCTCGAGTGATAAGTATTAAGAGAGTTAAGTATCGAGAGTAAATAAGTATTGAAAATTGCGCTCCTTAAATATATTTGTTGACCATGAATTTTACTTGAACCCCTTCCCTTATTTTCTATCCAATCAGAGACTCCTCCCTTATGGTGCGAGGGCAGCGCCTCTTTTGGCTTCGGAGTTAATTAAGGGCCTAGTCGTCTCTGGGTCTTCATGATGAGCAGATTTCTCATTGCTACTGCCGCATGCGACAGCAAGTAGGCAGCGGAAAGGGGGGGCATCGCTGACACATCTGGTGACAGCATTACAACTTGTCGACAGCGGGAAGGGAAGGAAGGTCCGCTTGCAGTAATGCTTGATGTAGCTACCGAGCGGAACAAAAATGCAGATGTCTAAACTATAGGTTTTCCTGTGTTTATGGTATTGTTTTTCCAGATGTTTTATGACACTAGTGCTTGATAATTTTGAGCAAGCGATGTTTTGAAATCCAAATACAAATTTTACAATGTTACTTGCCAGATGTTTTATTGCACTGTCAAAAATGGAAAAATATTCTCGCATTCTCGAATACTATTTTAGTATAACAGTTAAATCAAGCTGGACTAATAAAATTACAGTACAAATTACTTTTATCAACGTATTATTTATATTAATACATATTGCTTTTGTATTTACAATCGCATAAAATTAATTAAAAAAGAAATTTAAAAAACTTTTATTTTGAGTGGAACGATTATTGAAAATGATCGCATAATTATTGTAGATTCTATATAAACTTTCAAAACATGATAAATAAATATTTATTACCTTCTCTCTTTCTCTCTCTGCTCTAATAGCAGACAGATCATTAGAGAAATATTTGTCTTATAGAAATTATAAAATAAATATAAACCAAATGAAACAAATATAAATAAAAATATATATTTATTAAGAGTACTAATATAAAAAAAGAAATTCTTGAATGAAAAAAGAATAATTTCAATTTTACTTCATATTATTAAAAATATTAATTTAACGCAAATAATATTCAGTATGTAATATTAATATACAAAGTATTTATTAGGTAATCAAAATGACAAAATGTGATATTAAACATTTAGTATATAAAAAGTCTGTTTATGTTATTTATAGATATCCGTTAATCTCATATTATTGACGTTATAGAAATTCAAATGAAAAAGTAATGGTGTTCGTAAAAAATTAAACTGAACTAGAAAAAATAAACACCATTCAAGATAGAAAACTAAATAGCTTCTAATTTAATGACAAAAAAAATAAAAGAACTACAATAATTTCATGTACTTATAAGGTGTATAATTATATATATTTATAAATAGTCACATTATAAATAAACATAGTAACAGAAATTCTTGTAGGGCAGTAATAATAAAACTAATATTATTTTAATGATCAATTATTATAATTTTCAATATATATAACAAATAAAGTTACATTGTACTAGATTAATTATACACATAGATATAACATATATACTTTATATAGTAAATGAAATTGTTTTAAATATTCATGAAACAATATTATTCATGTACGATTATATATAATGTAATACTTCTGCAGTTCAAATAATACAAATAATATAAAAAAACAATCCGAAAAATATTTACACATTAACTGTGTAAATCATATATATATTATAATATATCACTGTTATGGATTGAACAGTCGAAAGCGGAAGACAAAATGGGAGAGGTATAAGCGCGCGAACGATTGTTTATAAACACTAGCCAATGAACTCATGTAATGTTTCTACACCGAAAACCCGAATATAGGACTAGAATTTCGAAGAATTATAACAATGAAACTCATAAAAATTATGCTTATTGACGTCACGACAAATACCGGCATAGTAACAAATATCGGGTCGCCACCGTCGCCCAAAAAATTACTACGAGAATTCTTAAGGACTGCGCGTGCCAAGCGCCAGTCAGTCTTTGTCGGTCCTTTGTCAGTCTTTATCTCAGCTTAGCGTAATAACGATTACTCAAACGATTAATCAAACTTAACGAATCACGCGATAGTGCTAACTTAATTAAGTGTGAAACTATCGAAGCATACTACATATATTAACGGATTACACTGACCCTAAGGTAGCAGCAACGGTCCCTGTCTGCGATCAGACTAAAGGCTTCCCTGAGATGATGAAGGGAGGCTTGCTGGCAAGTGGAATGGACAATGCAATAATTCAATACTGCCTTTGTATGAGTTGGTTTTCCTTTTATTGAATAAAATGATATAATAAATAATTAGTGGTCTATTGAGGTGAGATTGAATGAATGATACAATGAATAGGTGAGAGTTTCTTCAAGTAGTATGAGTGATAATAATCTTGTAAGTGTATTTTCTTGATGTGGCGCGTAATTATCCTACTCGTGGTTAGGACTCGTAGTGGTAGTGGGAGATGCGCTGATAAAGGTTAATGATGCCGTGAAGAGTGTCACGATGTGAAAGAGGAGTGTTGACGCCGCCGATTGCCGCTACCGATAAGCTGGAGAGGCCCGAGTGGGGCGCTGGTGCATGACGTCACTGGTGAGGAGAATTGATGCCGCCGTGGTGGCGTTGATGTGTGACGTCACTGATGAAGGGCAGTGATGATGCCGTGGTCTAGGTATTGCTGCTTACTTAACTCACAGAGCTGTGTCTTAGTGATTCGTAAGAAGGTGTGTAATAGTGTAGCTTACGTGTGGAGTCGATCTCAGTGCATTGATGGCACGTAAGAACGTGTGTAATAGCGTAGCTTACGTGTGGTGAGGTCGATCTGTGTGGTGGTAATAAGCTGAATGTGTATAGCTTACGTGTTAGTTGGAGACAATCTGTGTGTATTGGAGGTGATTTCTGTGTTAGTGGTGTTGACTTGTAGGACGGCGATCCGATCTTGATGACTGCTTGATTAAACTAGTAAGAGGACGAGAGCGTCAAGTGCAGCTCCTTAAATATTCTCGTACGAACTTGCTGCGCCGATAGCGCATCGGTGGCTGTTGCTCTGCCGATATTTGTCGTGACGTCAACAGGGCATAGCCTTGTAGGGTTCATTTGTTATTACTTTTTCGGAATTATAGTCGTATATTCGAGTTTTTCGGTTAGAAGCATTCTATGAGTCCGTTAGCCATTTGTTTACAAAACAAATGTTCGCGCGCTCATACCTCTCCCACTTTTATTCCGCTTAAAAATGCTGCAATCCGTAACAGTCCCCCTTTAGAAAGCTTAGGTGCAACAGCAGCAGTTCTTACACACCGACACAAAGGCAGGAGCAACCCAGTCTCACTTAGGCAGCAGCGGTACAACAGCGGCGGCTCACACGCATACTACTACAGTGGCACTTCTCGGAAGGGAAGGAGTCGCTCCATACATCACAGAGTGTACATACACTCCCGTCAGCACGTAACACTATCGAAGAAACTTCCTATAATTATTCGCTCACACCTTCATTCACACACTTTGTGAATAATAACTATTTATTACATTATTATCTTTAATAAAGGAAAGAAAGGAAACACTGCATGTAGTATTGAATAATTGCATTGCCCCTTCCACTTGCCAGCAACACCTCCACCCAACATCTAAGGAGGTTTTTAGTCTGATCCCAGACAATCACATATTCTTCGTGATTTGCTACGACTGCTGTACATCTCGAGGTGGTTAGCGATTACACAATAAAAGGTTTTATCGCATTATACTGAAGATCGGCATACATTATACTCTGATTGTGGTACTACGTTCATTGGAGAGGAAGCAGCTCTCAAGAAAATGTTCACGCAAGGTTCTCAAGAACATCATCAGATAGCTTCGATTGCTTTGGATGACAGTTCTCAATGGTGAAGTCTACGAAATTTCATCTGAGACTTACAATCGGAAAACGTTTCTTGCCTTTGAAGAAATCACTACTTTGCTTTATTAAATTGAGGCAATCTGGAACTTTAGGCCTCTAGAGCCATTGAGCGTTGATCCTGACTACTTCTTGGCGTTAACACCAGGTCATTTTCTGATCGGAAATTCACTCACTACAATATCTAAATCATCTCTAAATTGACTTGGTCGCTTCAAGACTGTTTCGATGGCAATTTATACAACTAGTTCAACAGTTTTGGTCACAATGATCTGCCCACTATCTACAACGGCATCAATCAATTTCAAAATGACATCATCGATGGAATGACATTAAGATTGTCCCGTTGGTATTCATCACCGTTAATCGTTTCTCACCATGCAAGTGGCCCCTCACCCGAGCAATCGATACACATCCTGGCAAGAATGGGTTGACCAGAGTAGTCACATTAAAAACAGCTTCGACTACCATGGTAAGACCAATACATAAATTGACAGTACTACCAATCCCCGACAAAAGGGAACAATTATCCATAGAATTGCTGATGGTGGGTTGTTATGTTCGAGATTCAAAGAATCTCGAATGTTATCATTTGGTGAAAAATTTCAATGGCTATCATTTCAAGGAAAATTCTCAACGGTTATCATTTTGAGGAAATAATGATAATAATAAGAACAACGTTCATAACTTCTAAGAAAATTCTTCAGCGGTCGTTGGAAATTCGGAAAATCCGGTACATCTAAAATGAGTGCATAATCACCTCTATTGTTTCTCGCACTACAGTAGAACCCATTGTTTCTAGCGCCATGATCGGACCCTCTGTTGTCAGCTAACAAAGCTGCCGTATAGATATTTAAGGCAAGTGCACCATAAGATAAGCGCTCCTCAATCATGAGCTAGTCGATCATAGAGGCTACTCAGTCATGAGCTAGTCGATCATAGAGGCTACTCAGTCATGAGCTAGTCGATCATAGAGGCTACTCAGTCATGAGCTAGTTGATCATTATAGCGGCTATTCATCATGAGCTAGTCGCTAAGGCTACTCATCATGAACTAGTCTACCAAGAAGCCAGTCAGCCAAGAATAATTGAGCCAAACGGAGTCATAGAAGCAGTCGTAAGCCATTCAAATACTACAGAGCCGCTACGGAAGGCCCTCCTCAACCTTCCATAAGACAACTTGGAGGAGACCAACAATCAAGTACCACTATGTGGTACCATACGAAGAAACGTCAAGAGACTTACGACCTCTAGTTTTCAGTATAGTATTTTGTCACCAAGCGTACTGCATCAACAGGATCCGGAAATTTACGACCTCCTACTTCTACATGTAGTGCATGCTGACACTACATGGTAACAACCAAGAAACGGCAAACTCTTATCGATTCTCATTGTCAACGTAGAATTATTATTTGTAGTTGCAAAATAAACGAAATACCAAACACGGAAAGCAAAATTGTTAAACACTTAATTCAAGTGCCACCCTTTCACTTTCCTACACTTTTCTCCCACGAAACAACTGGTCGCCATAGTCTAATTCTAAACATTTTGGTCCTTCGAGCTAGATAAGTTAAGTCAGTGTATTCCTCCAATATTTAAATGACCAATTTGATATTTTATACTATTAGATGTGCAGTTGGAAGTAATGTAATTATTAGAAATTACTTGATTATTTATTTTCTAAAATTAAATTAATATCATATACATACCAATAGGAACCCACATTGAAAAACATGGTAATGTAAATAATTGTAAAACGTATAACCATATTATTACCATTTCCATATTTAATTATCACTAGAAAGAAATAAAATCACTTTCAATATTTTATAAATATGTTTTATACATAATTTGTATATTTAATATTTCTTTAGTTCTTTATTTTTTTAATATTTAGTTATAATATCTCATAAATATAAGTAATAATTTCGTTTTTGATAATTAATACTTTTGTAAGCTATTTAATATAGTACTTTTATCATTCGGAAATGTTTAATTATATATATAAGAAAATTTTTTCTATTTGATTTTAGTTTATTTAAATAAACAATAGTTTATATCAACGTTCTGTTAATAAGATAAGATTTATTAATAGAATATATATATATATTAAAACATTCAATATTTTTATAATTTCTTAATTCATTTTCAAAGAACATTTTTTTAATGTCAGCATATTACGTAAGATTGATTGTTTAGGGTATAGTATAGACATATTACCATTATTGTAAATACTAACATTTTTATCTTCACGTTGTAAAATTTTTTATTTAAAATTCCATTTGCGATATTCCTATTTCTATTGCTAATAGAAATTTGTATCTAATCTCGATTGTGATCTTTAAAATTTCCATAATTAGATGTCTAAGTTACTACATTTCATACTGTTTAGAATTAACTAAGAGACCACTAAATGTTATGTGGGAAAAATGTGTGGGCAAGTGGAGGAGTTAGTACATTGATTCAATAGTTAACACATATGTTTCTTATGGCTGTTTATTCCATCTATTTTCCACATACAGGGATGATTATTGTTGATGAAGTTATAGGTGAACCTTTATTGCTCTTTGGCGCTTGGCACGTGGCGTTAGTGTGCACTTCCTTTCGAGGTAGGAGGTTGCAAGATTTCTGATCCTCGTGATGTGGTGCACTTGATGGTAGGTTACCCTGGAAAGGGAGAGGTTGTAAAGCTCTCGCCACTTCTTCGAGTAGTGCAACATGGGGAAACGGTGACTGCATCGTGCTCTTAAGCACACACTGCAGTTCCTTGACTGTGAGTCATGCTCTTGGCACGAGCCTTGAAACGGAGGAGGGATCTACACAGAAAATACACTAAATGATACATAGTAGGCTTCATGCGTAATGAGCATGAGCGAAAATCTCGTTGGGCACCAACTGGCGACTGGAGAGACCGTGTGGGACAGGTGGCACGAAACACCATAAATTTACTTCACTTCAGACTCAGCTAATTGACTCTTCTTTTCCTTGTCTTCTAGAGGACTTCAAGGTGAGTGCGAGCGAAGATGAGAATCGTAATCGATGCTGACGCACTCTTAATACTTGCCCTTGATGCACTCTGGTACAAAGGGCTTCTTGTAAAAATGGGGGGGGGGTGCTCTTGATGGACGTGCTGTATTAGAGGTTAGGATTGACATGGTGTGACGTTGAATGGCGGGATGATAGGCTTCGTACGCGTGGGGCACGAGTGAGTTCCTTTCTTTGGGCACAGGCATTAAAATTAGATAGAATAATGTTGCGTTTACCATTGAAACGGCGTTGGCCCTCAAGTATGTTCGGTGAATTGGCTCCTGCAGACACCTTGGATAGAAGATTGTGGCTATGGCGCAGTGAGTTGACGAGATTACATACGAAGACATGGCTTTGAACTCAGCTGAGGGGACTTCTTCCTTTCTTGGTGACTTCAACATGAGTGAGTGAGTATTGTTTTTCCCTCTTTGTTCGGGATTGATGCAGTCTCATGAATTTCAAACAAAAGAAAGGTCATACGCGCTGTCCGGCGTACCGCATGTGCGCCTAGACTGACCGCATGTGCGCCTAGACTGGCCCGCACGTGCGGACCGGGACGGGTACTCGAGCGAATATTTACAAACAAAACTCGGTAAGTCCAAGCAAGTTTACGACCCGAAATATAATATACTGTAAGATCACCGAAGGGTATTACTCCTACTTTTCTCTCGTTGAACATTCTCGAAGGTTCTAGATTTTTCCTTCGACGCCTGGTGTAAGAATTAGTGCAACAACGACGATGCCTTGTTGCCAGCTAAGTGAGCCGCCGCGTGCCTATATAAGGGACGCACGCGGCGCATCTCGACCTCTTGCTGAAGATACCTCTTGCTGAATATCTCTCTAGCTAAAAGTCACTTGTCAAACCACCCTCGCTCAACTGCGCTTGCGGCCAACATCTTACCGTGACTCGACCGCAGTGACCGACCATGGTGAACCGATTTAATTATCTACCAGTAGAAGCCATGACACACGGGTCTCGATCTGCCCTCAGCAGATCTGCCACTGAAGATCAAGCCTTCGGTTCGTGCGCGTATTCAAAAGGCTCATACGCTCATTTGTAAAATCACTTCACTCTCACTCAAGCGCAACTGCCACTCAGTGTATAGTATACTGTGAAGACGACACGTGGCCATATATTTGGCAGCCTAGTTAAAAATACACGTGTGCGTAAGAATAAGAAATCGGTAGATTAGGTAGTGATTACAATGATGCCAAAGGAATAGTAATCAAAGGGAACATCAACCTCGCAGTAAATCAACACACCTTGTCAGCAGTTATACAAGGTACCTCTTTTATATTGATAAATAAGCTAGTCACACCTCGCACACAACAAGTCGGGCAAATT